GGGGCAGGGGTAGGTGGGGTTCGGGACTGAGGAGAAGGGAAGTCCCTGCAGTCAGGTCCCAGCACCCTGTCCACACCCACTCCCAGTTGCTCCCTGCACAGGGTTTCTAGGAGGGCCTGGAAGGCTGAGAGGGGATGCTTCCTTTACCCAAGAACAGGGGCCCTGACCAGTAGATGGAATCCACCAGAGGCCTTGCCAAGCCAGTGTTCCCTTCTGTGCGGCCCCATCCCACCTCAAGGTGCCAGGATTCCAGGGGTGGGGAGGGGGATAGGCAGCAGCAGCAGCAGCCCTGTCCCTCACTCTTGGGGATGTCACTGAAATACGGAACTACTGCACAAGCACACGTGCATGCCCTCACGCTCAGAGGCACGCTGCGCGCACTGCATGTCTGCATGGTGAGCCTTGGCGTCAGGGCTGGGAAAAGCAGATCCTCCTGACTGGGAGCCTGGGGCCCCCTCTGGAGGCTGTGGGCATGTACCTGCTAGTGTGTGTGAGCATGCGTATATGCGCATGTGCACGCTGTGCGTGCTACTCCTTGTGGCATCCTTTTCAGTTCTCCACCCCTTAGGTGGAGGTCAGTGCCAACAGGCTGGCTGGTTAGTCCCTTTCAAGCTCTGAAAGGGACTTTCCATTCAGCAGTTTTGAGAATTGCTGAATCTGGAGGTGGGAATCCTGCTTTCTTGAGTGAAGTTGAAAGAGGGAGTCCCCAAACTACACCCACTGCTCCTTCCATACTCCTCGGTCCACCCCCAGGAAGCTGCTTTGGATGTAACAGATTAGAGTCAGCACACCCCATCAGGGCAGCGTCGGGCGTTCCCCCACATACCCAGGCAGCCTGGTAGATGGGAGAGGGGACCGTGTATGGAAAAGAGGGGCCTCTCACTTGCATAATGACATCATATTTGATCCTGTGCGATCTCCCCCTCCCAAACCATGACAAGTTGTCACCAGGAAGTCACTCCTAACTCTGCTGAGAACCATAGGGGCCGACCACTGCCTGCCAGTCCTCCCAGCAGTCCCCGTGGAGCCGGGCTGCACAGCAGCACATCATTCCTTCTCCCTGGAAAGATCTCAGCCCCCACCAGTCAGCTTAAACGACCTAGGTAGGCCTCGCCTTCCCACTTCCTCTCCTCTCGAGCTGGTTTCCAGGCCCTCGGATCAGAGCTCCTGGTTGGAAAGAAAACGGGGCCCCAGCGTGGAAGCCGTTGAAATGAGCAGGGAGGATGTACAGGATTTGTTCTCGGGGGGCAGCCAGCAGCCCATAGAGCCCAGAGGCCAGTGGGGTCCCTGGCTAATGGCCCCCAGTTCATTTCCCCGGAGAGGATGCCCTGGACATGGGTGTTAGGTCTGGGCGTCTGCCATGGCACCCATGATGTGGGCTTTCATGGCCTCTCCATTCCCCTGGAAGCTCCCAGTGGGCAGTAGGTGGTACTGTTGGGGGCCCAGAGCTCCTGGTCCTCTGGCTTCAATGGGGAGTTCCTGCCACACTGCTGAACCCATCAGGCTGGCCCTCTCGGTCACCTGCAGGCTTTTGAACATGGCAAGGCAGCAGCATGTGCCCCCATCATCCTTGGTGCTGTGGAGATGGCCCTCGAGGAGACCCTGGATCTCCTGTCGGCTGACCCACCCAGGGCCCTAGATCGTTTGGGAGTGGGGTCCCCTGAACAGGCAGTCAGGAACTGATCCTTGGCAAGCCAGCCTTTTCTTTTTGCTGTTGGGGCAGTGGACCAGCACCTCCAGTCAGGATAGTCCAGCCAAGCCTGGAGCTCAGGAGAGGCAGAGCCAGCAGCTAGCTCATCCTCCTGGCTCTACCCCTCTCCTCCCCCTGCCTGGCCCCGTCCAGGACCTGCTCCCTCTTCCCCTCCCCCCATCTTCATCTCTCAATTTTACAGGCAGTCAGTCACCCAAGCCAGGCTGGATGGTGGCCTGGGGCACGGCGTCTGATGGGTAATGCCCTAGGCCTAGAGGGGCCACCGAGCCTGGCCGTGCCCCGAGTTAGCCGTCACCCGAGTTCCCTCTCCTTTCTCTCAGCTGCACGCCAGCACAGCACCCTTCCTTACCGCCTTCTCTGCACTCTGTCCACTGCCTCTCCTGGCCAGCCTGCTGCTTATGTTGCCCACTCTCCAGGCACTTGCCCTGGCGACGGGGAGACCCACCGCCTTGCAGCCTGCCTCCCTGCTTTGCCGCTTGTAGACTCTGTGCACACTGGCGGGGACGGGGCCCGTCAGAATCCCGATGACGTGGCGCTGCTGGGCCAGGCGCCTGGGGCCGGGCTGCTTCCTAGGAGGGCAGCTAACCCACTGGGTAGGCACAGGTGAAGACGCGGACACAGTGGTCGCTACGGAAGTTTCCAGACCTGGGGTCAGGACGAGGGGCGTCTGAAGAGTAGTGGGGATAACTTCCTTCGATCACGGAGTTAAATCCTGAGGAGCACCCTGACTCAGCCCTTTTGGTTCAGTGACCTTAGAGGAGTCACGTGGCCGCTTTGAGCCTCATCTGTAAATTGGGAATAATTATTCTGGTGATAGTGGCCGTCAGCAGCACCAGCCCGATGCATGAAGAAACGCATGTAAACTACAAAGCACAGGACACGACAGTGGTGCTTGTGCTTCGCAGCTTTGGGGTGAAGACATTGAGGACAATGCAGGCACTGGCCAGACGGGGTGGGGGGTCCCCTCAGAACAGTGGGCTCCCCTCTGTTCCAGCCCGTTTCTCCCTCAGGGGCCTGTGGCCTCTGGCTCAGCTGTGTCTTGGGACAAAGAGCCCCTCCTGGGGGCAGCAGGCATATGCTCCTGCTAGGGACAGTGGGGTGAAGGCGCAGCTCCACCTTTGTTCCGGGACCCATGGGCGGCAGGGACCTGGCACCTACCTGGCCCCTGCCCACCTGCCCTGTCCCCCGCAGAGCTGCAGGACCTCACGCTTATCTCCCGGGCCCGGAAGCCGGCCTTCATCCTGAGCTCCATGCGGGACGAGAAGCGGATGTAAGTGAGGAGGGAAGGGGGGGCCACACACGTGAGGCCTCTGCAGGGTGTCTGCAGCGGGCTCTGGGCTTTTGTCCAGTCTGCCCAGGGCCCTGCGAGGTGGCTCATGGCCTCTGTAGCTCACAGGGACGAGACTGAGTCTCTAGAGAGCCTGGGTCTGCTCCTTTGTCAGTGGCCAGGCTGGCTCTGCGTCACACGATGATGCTGGTTGCAGGCCTGTCCCTTTCCCTGTAATCCTGCCGTGGTTGTTGGGGAGATGGCCCAGATCCCCTCTGGGGGGCCTGCTTCCCTCCGATGCACCCTGCTCCGTACCCCCGCCTCCCTCCATAGAGCTGTGAGGTGGGCTGCTTGCCCACCCACCTGCTATGGACCCAGGCTCATCGCAGGAGGCCGGCCTGGGTGATGGGCACATCGAGAAGCACATGTCCTGTCCCGGAGGACAGCCTCTCAGGCCCAGAATCAGTGCCACCAGCACAGCAGGTTATCAAGACAGACGTGGTTCCCATCAGCTGCTCTCTCCATTCCCGTTAGTAACAGAGGTGCTTTATGCTCTGTTTATTACTATCCCGCAGTCCTAACAGCCGTCCCAGGGAGGTGTTAATAACTGCAAAATCTGAGTCCCCGAAAGGTTAAGTGACTTGCTCAAGGTCACACCGAGTGAGTGTCAGAGCGGAGACGCAGGCCCAGGTCTCCCTGAGTCCATGCCTTTTCTGCTGCTGCAGGCTCTCTCCTGGCCATGTCCCAGGGCCAGCCCCACAGGGAACGTGCTCATTAGCAGATGCAGCCCCTGCTCCGGGCCCAGGCCGCTGTGTGGGGGGCGGGGCTCGGCAGCTCCTCCCCCGAAGAGCAGCTTGCCCTGGCCTAGCCCACTTGTTTTCTCAGCCACCTTGTAATGTGTGCCCTGGGGGTGCGCCTGCCATGTTCTAGCCTTTCCCTCCCACTGTGCGCCCTGTTCCCTTCCTGGAGGTGGCGCTGAGGTGAGAGTCCGGACACCCCTGCGAGGACCTCCCGACGTGTGTCTGAGAGCCACTGCTCAGCCCTGCTCCCTCTGGGTTGACCCCGCCGTTGCCAGCTCTGCATCCTCAGAAGAGTCTCTGGCATGTTTGCCTCCCTGGTCAGGCCCCACGGGCCCGCAGAACGGCACAGCCTTCCCTGCCACCCTCTGGTCTTGCTGCAGGGCTGGGCATCATGTCCAGGAAAAGATGAGGGACCCCGGAGGCAGGTCACACAGGCCTCCTTCATTTATCACCTGTCCACTGAATGCCTCCTGTGGGCACTGGGCACTTAGCGCCGCAGAGCAGAGCCGGCCCCTGCCCTCAGGGAGGTTCCAGTCCAGTGGAGGAGAAAGACAGTAAACAAGTGAATAAAACAATGATTGCTTATGGAGGCAAGAAGTGCTCGGCACGCAGGCAGAGCAGGAGCAGGCCGAGCTGGAGGTCCTGATGGCGTCAGGGCAGGCTTCTCTCAGCAGTGACATTTAAGCTGAGATAGAAAGATGAGAACGAGACCAGAGGGAAGGTTCCAGGTCTGTGCACCGATTGTGGAGGCCTTTCCCCTGGGGCAGGGGGCCGGGCACGGCAGCACCAAGGGAGGCATGTCAAGGCGTGTGGGAGACGCGTGACTCAGGGGTCAGCAGACCTGGGTCCAGACCCAGCCAGCATCGCTTGCCACCCATGTGACGCTGGTGGTCACCTGGCCCCTGAGCGTCATTCCTTCATAGCTGCGCACGGGGGCAACGGAGTGTCCGCCTCAAAGGGGGGTTGGGACCTTTAAGTGAGCTCATGCTGGCAGAAGCCCCTCACAGCTCCTGGCACATAGAATCCTTCCCCTCACTCCCGCCTCCCCTGTTGCTCCCACCTGGGTGGGAGGTCCTGACCCTCCTCGGCCACCCTTCTTGCCCAGCTACAGGATACCAGCGCCCCTCCCCCCAGTCCTGTTTAGTTCACACAGGCTTCCATCAGGCCAGGCCTGGGAGTGGGAATGTAGGCCTGACCAAAACCCAGTGGCTGCCCTCAGGGAGCTCCCCGTCCAGAGTGGGGGACAGACCCAGGTGTCTGCTGAGGTGGCACCTGGTCAGTTACCTGCCCCCTGCTGCCCCTTACCTTCCTTTATCACACTTTTTACCTCCTGAAATACACGCCTAGTCCTTTACGACTTCACCCCCGTCCCCCAAAGCCCCAGCAGCACAGAGCTCCGCAGGGCTTGGTCTCACGTGCTCATGAGGCTGGCACGGCGCCGATGCCCAGGGGCACGGGCTCAAGTGTGGATGTAAAGTGCCGGGCTATGATGGGACCCGCTCCTCTCCCACTGCTGTCCCCACTACAGCCACGACCACCTGCTCTGCCTGGATGGAGGGGGCGTGAAAGGCTTGATCATCATCCAGCTGCTCATCGCCATTGAGAAGGCCTCGGGCGTCGCCATCAAGGACCTCTTCGACTGGGTGGCCGGGACCAGCACGGGGGGCATCCTGGCCCTTGCTGTTCTGCACGGTGAGGGCAGCTGCCGGCGGCAAGGCAGGGCGGGGCGGGGCGGGGCGGGGTCGTGACCTGCAAACTCCTGGGTAGGCCTTGTCTCCACTCAAGTGGTGTCCCCTTCCTGGAGCTGTCTGGGCTGCGTGACACTGCCTGTGGGGACCTCCCAGAACAGGGTCCAGCCACACCCAGGTGGGAATCGGCCTCAGCCTCGCCATCCTTGACGGTGGTCCCTGGCCGACGCAGCCGGGTCCCATACTGTCCAAGCGCCCTCCAGATCTGAAGGCACCAGGAGAGGACCCTCCTGCACCTGACGCATCAGGGCCAGGCCTGTGCTGGGTGCTGGGGGCACGGGGCTGAGTCAGGCACACGCCTCACCCAGGGAGCCCCCGTCCGATGGGGGAGGCACAGGATGTAGGTGCTCACCGAGGGAGGAGACTATGGCCTGGCAGTCAAGGGTGTGTGGGGACACGGGCACAGCCAGCAAGCGTCCCGTGGGGCTTTGGGGAGAGGAGGATCAGCAGTCAGCAAGTTGCCAGGATTTTGTCATCACAGTTTACTGCCTAGTATTTCACGTCATTTTGATGATTCTCATCATAGCATTGAGGGGTTACAGCTGGGGAAACTGAGGACCAGAGAGGGTCACCCAGTGAGTCAGGCAGAGCCAGGCCGGGTCTCCATCTGTATGCCCAGCCCTCTACCCTAGCTCCAGGCCCCACATCCCCTCTCTGGTCTTTGGTTTTTGCCTTCCACTAGAGAAGAACCATCTCAAGGCACTGACACCCCCCATGGGGGCATCAGGTGGGTGGCAGGGCAGAGTGGGCAGAGGTCCTAGCCTGTTCTCCAGAAAGGGCCACTTCCTTCTTCAGGGGACATTTGGCCCCCATCGACGCTCTTCAGAAGGGATCTGAGAAATCACCCAGTTCAGCCTCTCCCACGGGCAGAACCGCCCCCTCCCCAGCCAGCCTGCTTGCATACCCCGGGCAGGTGAGGTGTCCTGGGCACTTTCAACAACTTGTGAGGCACAGCCTGCCCTTTGACCCTGTCTGTTTCGGAGGCTCAGAGGACAGAGCTAGTCTTCTTCTGTGACAAAGAGGGTGGATTTACATTTACAGGTTTATACACATTTAAGGAAAGTAATACAAAGTTATGACTACAAAATCAAGCACAGAGCCTTGGGCTGCGGAAGGGGCCGTCTGCCTGTGTGGGAAGGTGCAGAGGAGGGACCCGGGGCCGAGCCGGCTCAGTGCCTCGGCAAAGCCGCCCCTCCTGCCTGCGGCCACGGCTGGCCCCCGGGCCCCATGCCGGCCTGTGCTCTGGCCCTGTGTCTGGCGCATGGCCCTGGTGCCTCCCCACCTCTGACCCCTGGTTCCTAGGCAAGTCCATGGCCTACATGCGCGGCGTGTACTTTCGCATGAAGGATGAGGTGTTCCGGGGCTCGCGGCCCTACGAGTCGGGGCCGCTGGAGGAGTTCCTGAAGCGGGAGTTTGGAGAGCACACCAAGATGACGGACATCAAGAAGCCCAAGTAAGCCGCCTCCGCGGGGCCCTGGGGTTCAGCCCCAGCCATGCACCCCTTCGGCTGTCCTGGGGGCAGAGGGCTCCCTGTCCCCGTCTGACTAAAGCTGAGGGGCTGGGTGGGCAGCAGCTTCTTCCCGTATAAATGAGGGACTCTTGCAAGCACAGGCGCGGACACCCTTGACCCAGGTATGCTGTTTTTCCACCAAAACCACACCCTGGGGTCAGAGGGGGTCGGTTCACATCCAGCACACACTCAAGACTTCTCTGCTGAGCACGGCTCTGCCCTTGGCACTCTGGCTTAGTGTGCGTGCGTGCGTGCGTGTGTGTGCTATGAGTGTGTGTGTGTGCTGTGAGTGTGTGTGTGTGATAGGGAGGGGTGTTCTGGAGGCAGCCATCCAGAAAAGCTTACAGTCTGGTTGGGAGATAAAGTGACCTGAAAAAAAATGGCAACCAGGCAATGCAGCACTTGCGTAAGAGGTTCTAGAAATGCCTAGAGTACTGCTGCTTCTTTGTAGCACTCTGCACCTATTGTCAGTCTAACGCCTGTGTCACCTACTAGACAATGAGCTTCCTGAAGTAATGTGACCACCTTGTTTCTGCAGTAGCCCCAGCACCTAGCACAGTGCCTCTCCCAGAGCAGGTCATTGACATGTGTTCATCAACTGACTGGGAACAAGAGGGACAGAGGACGGAGGGTGAGGTAGTCAGGGAGGGCTTCCTGGAGGAAGTGAAGTGTGAGCGAGGCCTCGAGGGTTTGGGGGAGGATTTCTTTTCATAATAAAGCTTTTTTTTTTCACTGAAGAGTAATACATAGTCTTTTAAGAAAATTGGAAAATATACAAATAGAAAGAGGACGGAAATATTGTCCATGATTCATTAACCAAAAGATGTTCTAAAAACGTTTTTGTATAGTTTATCCTACACATTTTTCTCTTTTTTATGGTGAAATAAAACTTACATTTAGAAAAGTACATAAGCCAGTTTAAAGAAGAATTATGAAGCAAACAGTCCTGTGACCACCAGCCAAGTTTAAAGCCCCTGGAGTATGTGCCCTGCCCCATCACAGTTCCTGCCTTCCCCTGGGGTAGCTGCCCTCCTGACTGGTGTGAATGGGATTTCCTGGCTTTTCTAGGTAGTTTCACTACCTGTGAATGCAGCTCCGAACAGCGTGGTTACTGTCTTGCCTGTCTCTGGGCTTGATGGAGTCATTTTGTGCGTTATCTCTTCTTTCCATCACTGCATGGACCCTGCTGTTGGGTGTAGCTGCACTTTATTCATTCTCAGGTGACCACGCCCCACAGTTTATTTCTCCAAATACCTTCAGCGGACACTTGGGTTGTTTCCAGATGAGAGCTCTTGTGAGGATTGCTGCTGTGAACACTTTGGGACTTGTTTTTGGACCCACATGCCTACAAGTGTCCTTGAGGCACATGCCTGGGAATAAGGCTGGCGGGTCCTAGAGGACGCATGGCCTCACCTCTCAGGCTCTGCCCACCATTTTCCAAAGTGCTGGCTTCTAGTCTCACTCCATTTGTGGCGTCAGTTTGAGAGTTCCTGTTGCCCTGCATTCTTGCTAACGTTTGCTTATTGTCAGACGTTTCTATCTTTACGAATCTGAGGCGGGTAAGGTGGTGTCTGGTTTGGATTTTCGTTTCCCTGACGACTAGGGAGGTTGAACAGCTTTTCATAGTTTTAATGGCCATTTGGATTTCCTCTTTTGTAAAGTTCCTGTTCAAGTGTGCTGCCTATTTTGGGCAAAATTGGGTTGTGTGATTGTTGAGTTTTGAGGCTTCTTAATGATCTTCTTTATATTTTGAAAACTGGTCCCTTGATGGCTATATAGACTTGAAATCTCTTCTCCTACTCCATGGCTTGTCTTTTCACTCCTCTATGCTGTTTTGTTGGTGAACAGGTGGGTGTTCTTAATGTGGTAGAATTTATAAGTGTTTTCCTTTCTATAGTTTGTGCTTTTTATGTCTCATTTAAGAATCCTTCCTTAACGTGAAGCAGGAAGCAGTCTCCTGTTTCCTGTGCCAGGTTGGAAAGCTCTCTAGATCTGCCTTTCGTGTTTAGGTCTTCAGTCAACCTGGAATTGATTTGTGTAGCGGGGAGATCGAACTTCATGTTTCCCGCGAGAATAGCCAGTTTCCCAGCCTCATCTGTATAGAAGTCTGTCTCTCTCTCCCTCCACGTCTGCAGGCCTTGCTTCCTCAGTGCTAGGCCAGGGGTCCTTACTCACGTGTGTTTCTAGCGGTGTTCTCCTCCACTGGCTGGATGTCTGTGCCTGCACCCAGAACTCAGAGCCCTCACTCGTTCTACAGCATTTTACTAAGTCCTGGTTCTCAGGGCAGCCAGGCCTCCCACCTTGGCCTTCATCTTCAAGAGTTGTGACTCTTCTTGGTGGCACTTAGCGAAGTGGCTAAGAGCATGCACCCTGAAGTTTCTTTTCGAAAATAGGAATAATATTCTACCTGCCTCCTGGTGTTTTTCATGAGGAGTCAAAATGTTAATATTTATAAAGCACTGAAAAAGCACTTGGCACATGGAAGTGCTATAGAAGGGTTAGATGTTGCTACTTGTGCATCCACATAAATGGTAGAATCAGAGTGCCAAATTCTACAGAAAATCAAATCCTGTTGGGATTTCGATTGAAATCTGTGTCAGAGAGGTCCAACAGTGAATCTGTGAGCTTATTCGGGGGAAAACTGACATCGGAAAATACTGAATCTTCCAATTAGAGAACATAGTAAAACATTCCATTTGTGTAAAGTTTCTCAACAGTGTTTTATAATTTTATCTGGAGAGATCTTACACATCTGTTCTCTTTATTCATAGGTACTGCATATGTTTTGTGCTGTTGCAGATTATACATTTTAAAACATTCATTTTCTAACTGGAGCTGGTATTTAGAAATACCATTTATTCATTTATTTAAAAATATTTAATTGGGGTAAAATACACAACATAAAATTTGCCATCTTTTTTTTTTTAACTTTATTGGGGAACAATGTGCTCTTTTGGGGCACAATGTGTTTTTTCCAGAACCCATCAGCTCCAAGTCAAATTGCTGTCCTTTAATCTTAGTTGTGGAGGGCGCAGCTCAGTTCCAACTCCTGTTGCCATCTTCAGTCTAGTTACGGGGACGCAGCCCACCATCCCATGCGGGAGTCGAACTGGCAACCTTATTGTTAAGAGCACATGCTCTAACCAACTGAGCCACCTGGCCACCCCATGATTTTCTGTATTTTAAATCTACCTCTTTTAAAGTCTCACAAGACATTATTATTGTTTTTTGAAGTTGATGTCCATTTAGATTTTTTCCAGCAGTGTACTGGTAAACCAGATCTCTGGGGGGAAAAGCTCTGATGTGTAGTCTTTGCCAGTTCCCATGGCATAAATGCTCCCACCATGGCCAGTTTGAAGCTACCAACAGTTTAACAACCAGCCTGTGAGATTTAGCAATAGGTTCTTACAAGCACAAGCAAGTATTCGCTGGCTCTGGCACACCATTGGGTATGTATGTGTGTGTATGTATACTTGTATGCGTGTGCATTCATGTATGTATATGCGAGTATCACTTCTTTGCTCTGCATTCTCCCCTGCACCTCAGACTTCCATCTGTGACCACTTTCCTTCTGCCTAAAGTACGTTCTTTTGACTTTCCTATAGAGTGTCTGCTGGTGGTGAATTCTGCACTTGTAGAATTCTTTGAAAATAAGTTTATTGTACTCATCATTTGAAACTAGTTTTATTTCATGCTCATCAATTGAAAATAGTTTTATTTTGCTCTTATTCTTGTTGGGTATAGACTTCTAGGTTGGTGAACATGTAAGATATCATTCCATCATCTTTTAGCTTCCATTGTTGCACTTGCAAAGTCAATTGCAATCTAACTTTTACTTCTTTGAATTGGTCTTTTTTCTCTGGATGCTTTTATTTATGTGTTTGTTTATTTTTGGTCCACTGCAGTTGCATTATGATATCTCAAGATATGAATTCTTCCTAATTTATTCTGTGTGAGATTTGTTGGTCTTTTTGAATCTTTGGGTTGGTGCCTTTCTTCAGTACTGGAAGCCTGAGTCATCATCTCTTCAGCTCTTGCCTCTGCATAATTTGCCCTCCTCTCCTTCTGGAACTCCAATGAACATATTTAGACCTCTTCTATCTTTCATGTCTTTCAACTTCTCCTGTATTTTCTATCATTTTATCTCTCTGTGTTGCAGTCTGAATAATTTCTTCTTACCTATTTTCCAATTCACGAGTTTTGTTTTATCTAAATTTCCATTTAACCCACCCACTGACTTTTTTATTCTATTGGTTTATTGTTGTTTTATTTCTAGAAGTTCTCTTTTGTTCTTCAAATCTTCTAGGTCATTACTTACTGTTTTCCTATTGCCTGAAGATACTACCAAGCTTGTCTTTGATGTCTTTAAACATTGTAAGCATAGCTGTTTTATAATCTTTGGTTAAGGATTCAAATATTTGCAGTTTTGTAGGTATGTTTTGTTGTTTATGTTGGTTTATGCTGGCTCTCTCTCATTCATGGTATTTTATTTCATTGTGTGCTCCCCCCACCACACACACACACACACACACACACACACACACACACACACACACACACACTTTTTAACTGTGTGTTCCTTAGTGTTGAAAAATAGTATGTACAGATTCTGCGAGGCTTATAATGAGAATGTCTTCCTTCAAAGTGTCTTGTGTTCTCTCTTTCAGGTACCTAGGTACAATACCATCTAGGCCACTGTAATTAAATTCTTGGCATGAAGGTTTGGAGATTTTCCCCAAGTGATGGGAATTTAGACTACAAACCTGAAGACATTTTAGTTTGTAGTTATTCATTTTCAGGAATTTTTTTTCTCCTTCCTTTGTACAGTGCCAAGGCAACTTTCTTCATAGTCTGCAGGGGTGGGAAAGGGGCAGGTTCACCTTATCCAAGAGTATAGCCTTTTGGGGTCCCAATCTAATGTAGGGAGCGTCTCTCATTAGACCCCTAAACTTTGGTGGACCGTGGTCTTCAACTTTGTCCCTCTGGCCCCATGAGGCCATCAACACTGTAGTTCAGATTTGCTGAGTTTGGTATCTGCCTCAGGTCAAGGCTGGGTCTGTGCTCCACCAACCTCTCCAGGTTCTTGCTTATCCTCAGAATTTATCCTGGTATCTGGTATCCCTTTCTATCTCGTCAGATCTCCTATGCTCCTAGGCAGATTGTGTGTGTGTGTGTGTGTGTGTGTGTGTGTGTGTGTGTGT